TACATCAATGCACATTTGTCCTGAGTGGAATGAGACATGTTATAGTTTGTTTGTGATAATGAAAAATATTATTTGTTCAGTTTCTTGACAACACCATTCAGTATTTGAACGGTTGATTCGCTATCAAAGAACCGAAGCAGTAACAGATACCTCACTATTGAAGCTGAAAAGTTTCAGCAAACATATCCTCAAGTCAATATTTTTCTGAAAACATTGACTGCTGTGTTAAGCGAAGAAACATTGTTATGTTAACTGAGAACATTTCTTGAAACATCGTGGAAACTGTAAGTTTGTTTTCTTCAAAATACAAACTGTTTTTATCTTGCTTTGAAAATCTGACAGATACGTTACTTTCTGCAACTCTGCAAGAAACATAATTCTTGCATCACTGGCAAGATATTTTTATAATTATGCCTAATAAAGTTTGAGAATATAGAAAACAGCTTCCTCTAGAATATCAATTAACATGTCTACCCTTACCACTTATAAACTAGCTTATATGCATTTGGATGAAAAAGTATTTGGAGCAATATCAGGAGGTAAGAATATAGAATATTTTGTAACACTGTAGGTAAAAAAACATTCAATTAATGCACATTTCTTTTCCTAAGTATTTTTATCCTCAAGCTTTAACATGAATACATTCAAAATTGCAGGAAAAATGCAATCACGTTAAAACTTCACCCCAAACTGGCATTCTTGAGGTAACTATCTGTCACGTGACAAAATCCTTGAGTGTCAGTATCAAAATATCTATGATTGCTGAAGGGAAGCCGTTTTAACATCATATCTAAGCACTATCCAATTTGAATTTAATATACTGGGTATAACATGAAAGGAAAATAAGGTAATTTTTGAAAGTTAACAAAAGTGTATTGCCGCCTGTTAGTGGAGAATAAATGCATAGTAAACCACTTATACTTAATTTATAAACAGCATATATTGTTTCAACATATATATAAACTTTTATATTTTCTCAAAAGAAATTTCATGAAACATACGTTACCAAAAGTAATTATACGGTCATGAACAGTATTTAGAATGGATATGTTCCTTCAAAGAACAGACCTTTCATCTATAATTTCAAAACATATATACAACTTCATTAAATGTCAGGACATAATTCCATAAGGGATATGTGAATAGTGACCTCTGTGTCAACACCTACAGGACTGAGTGGCTTCCTTGTGTAAAAATCTAACCTCGTCAAAAGACCACCTATTTGTCCAGTGCCACTACCAGAAATGAATGAATGCGTGGAATCTCAAAACAGAGCTGATTAATGAATTATTTTATCATTAACAACAATGTGAATGAATCGTAAAATGTTTGTGACAAATACGCACATGACCAATCATTATACATCATTGTTTGTCCATAAAACTGCATTAATAAATTCAATAAACAAGACAAGTCTTTAGAAAATGTGCATATTCAGTTCATAAAATATTTCAATCATTTTCATAAAGATTGTCAGTTTTACTAAGAAGGTTAAATTAAATCGCTGTTCATTAACATATTCATATGAAATCTGTCGTAACTAAGTGTGAAATATACATGAAACATGATTTTGTAAACACTATCCAATTTTCTCGGAAACCTCACTTCGGTATTCATGTTCGTGTATTTTCCAAATTATCCCAAGCGATTCTAAGTTTATCGGAGGGACGTTTCAGAATTAGCACTGGTGGTTTGATGAAAAACAGCTGTCAGTGGTCACTAATATGTTATTTTTTAATGATACCCTCCAAACAAACAATTAATCCTCCAAGTTATTATCTGATTTTTACATTTCAAAACATACACCAAATAATGGTTCTACTAGTTTCCTCACACATCAACCAGAATGTAGCAATGATAAAATTATTTTTAGCTTTAGCCACACTAACGTCGGGTTGAGTGCACACCCACCCGCAATTATAAGCGTACAATCACAAATCAAAAGTGCAGTATTTTGTACTTGGGTTTACTTCCGTTGAAATGAAGCACCCGGGATACCGAATCGAGTCAGAAAACTAACTCACTTTGGGGGTCGGGTTACAAAGTAAACATATCTAACTATCATGGCTGGCCGGCATGTGTCAACCAAGTCAGCAAGTCTGACCACCCGACCCTGTTAGTTAAGCCTTCTTGTGAAGAACCAAATTCAAAAGGCACAGCATCTCGAATTAAATCTGTTTACCTTAAGTGATGTGACACATGCAAGGTGAAATCTAGTGAGGATAATCTAGTATCTAGAAATACCCAGAACATCTTCAAAGCGTAAGACAGGCGCTGGCCTTTTCACTTCCATTGAACAGTTTGTTTAAAAACAGGTGGTTATCTATATCCTTTTTAGCATATTATACAAATGGAAACTTTTGAATTTGGAGATAAGTTCAAATTCATAAATAATTTTGTTGGTGTTCCACACAGATCTTGCACCTTGGTCATCTAGTGTCCAAGTGACATTGTGGGCTGCATGTTTCCCAACAGTAAAATGTTAGGCAGTAGGGGCACTTGACCGCCCACATGAGGTGATGACAGCATGGAGATAGGACAGGGCTTAACAGGAGGGCCAATAAATATGCCTTTATGTTCTTAGTCTCTGAATCTCTGGGGTGGGTGTGCATCCAAATTATATATATTCAGAGACTGAAGTGTAATGGCTGGTTCATTTGCCCGATGCCCTCATGGCTCATTGTGTGTGATGTTGGGTTTTGTAAATACATGCTCATTTTTTGTGTATAACATTTTGCAATCAACAGACATCATAACATGTCATGTGTACAAGTATCACACCTGCCTGTCTGTGTAATTACATAATGTGACAGAGACCGAACTCGGCCATAAATCAATGCATTTTGTTTATGGTGTATAACCTGATAGGTGTTAAGTTCAAATTGCATGTGGTCAGTGATCGAAGTTGTGTATTGAATATTGTCATTAGCTAGCAGACAGGCAGGCAGACACCTAGGTGTCAATAAAACAGACAGTGAGTTTTGTCTGTGACAACGACATATCTATATCACAGTTAGAAATTCTGTCAACGCTAAATAATGACATTGCTTTTAAGTATCGAACTGAGAAAGTGACTCGTTAAGAAGAAAGTGTGGTGAAATAGACAAATGAAAGTATATAAACAGTTAAATCGGTAATCTACTGTCATAACATATAAACAGCTCGCGCCTGTGAAATATCAACAAAACATTAGAAAAATAGCACACATCAAAGCTTTCACCGAGTATTCACCGCCAGCAAAGGTTTTCCGTCTTGAAATGTCGAATGCCTCACTGGTTGACACAGTAGCTGAGAAGATCTAGATCCTAACAAGGTTCTTTTATGTAATGAGTAGATTATTTACTATTTGTTTTGATTAGACTACTCCTGCTCCCGACCTTATAATCTGGACGTCCCGCTTCCAAGCTGTGCAAACCTATTTCACTGCGCATGTGCTATGAGCGCAGCCCAGCGCAGCGCAGCACAGTTTTTGAAACCACTTTTCACCCCAAGCGCTGGGGTGAATTTAGTGAATCGTTTGAACTCCGATTTCGCTGGGGGTTTTTCATCGCGTTATTTTTCAACTTTATAAGTTGAATTTGTATTTTTGATGATTTGTATCTGTAAGTCCATACTGAAAGGTATCAGACTCTGCAAAGTTGTGTTTTACGTTGCATGTGACCTTTAACTAAGGCTACCTTAGTGTAAGATTGATTTGTGCAACAGGCCGTCAACTTTAGCTAAAGCCTAAGGTTATCACTTAAGGAGATAAGATAATCTTAGCGCTAAGGTTGTTTTGTACAATGGCACTCTGGTTAACACGAAAAAGCTTGAGAGGGACATAGGAAAGCTGCACACTTAGTGAAACATACATACTAAGTACATTTACCATTTGGGCGACAACCAAACAACTATTGATTACAGAAGATTTCAGCAATGTTTCACTGTGTTGTGCAATGAAATACACAGATGAACTTAGGAGTCAGGTATTTTTTGGAACTTCTTATAAATTATCTTTTGACAAGCTATTGATATCAATTATAAAACCATGAGAGATTTTACGAGCTACTGTAACGTGTGTTTCATTTTGATATATGTTTAACATTTTCTTTAGAAAAGAGAAATGTGTTTAGATGTTTTTCTTCTGTAACTTGTTTCTGCCAGTCAGATTAAGGACAGCATTCATATTCATATTAAATCCAATTATGAATAATGAAGAAAATGGTTTATAAGTCTGAAGAAAACGAATTTTCATAAAACTGTCAATTTATCTGTCAGTTACTGCTATTTACTTACCTTTAGTGATTAAAAAACAGTCCCTTGTAGAAATGTCCCGATTTCAAGCATAAATGTGGTAGCAGACGATGTTTCCCTTCGATACGGAAGTACCGGACTCGCTTTCAATTGAGTCTCCTGCCCTGAAGATTTCAACCTTAGTTAAAGGTTGGGCTAAGTATCCTTGCAGAGTTAAGGTTGACCAAAGGTAGCTTTGTGCAATGGATGTAACCTTTTGTTAAGGCCTTGTCACTAAGTTCAACCTTAGTAAAGGTTGTTTTGTGCAATAGAATTTATTTTTAGGGGTTAGAATTAGTCTTCAGCAACCCATGCTTGTTGTAAACGACGCCTAAACAGGATCGACTCATGTCATCATATCCCAATTGCGTAGATTGATGTTCATGCTGTTGATCACTGGATTGATATGATCCAGACTCGATTATTTACAGACCGCTGCCATATAGCTGGAATATTGCTGAGTGCAGCGTTAAACAAGAAACCAACCAAATCTTTTGTGTGTTTTTTTAATACTGCATCTTTGACATGTGAATGGAACAGTTTTTATACAGTTTGTACATGTGCAATTTCTAAGCACGCCAATAACGTGCTTTTTCAAAAGACATAGTACAGTACAGTATAGTATAGTAGGTCAAAGTATCTCTTTCAACAATTGAATTTTTTTAGTTGCCAAGTTTCTTTTGCACGTTAGTTTACTTAGTTAGGTAACAATGATGTATGTATTTCAGATGAGATAAGGGAGGAAAAGGAAAAGAAAGAGGAAGAGCTTGGTCTAGCAAAGCGGAGACTTGATGATCAAAACATGGACTTCTATAAACAGTTTGTGAGTAGTGTTATTGCAAAAGGGGCATGACTTCGTTTTAGAGTTTGTACCTCTTGTGCTATGTACTGTGAGAACAATGTAAGTACTACTACAAAACACACACACACACACACACACACACACACACATTTGTTGCAAAGTAGTGGATACAGAATCAGTCATGAATTTATTCATCAGTTCAAAATCATCAGCATAGGAAAAGTGAGGTGTTTTAAACTTGTTTGTAATATTGAAAAGTTGGTTGCAATATATAAAACAACACAAATCTGTTTTTTCTTTCTTCTAATTCCCTTTATTGTTTGCTGCAACTCTAGATTTTTGTCATGAACTATAAATGGTTTGGGCAATCAGTGATACCTGTGTGAACAATTATGTGAATATCGCCAGCGCAGTTCCCTTTGAACATACAAATTGTACAACATTGATACTTTAACACCGTAACATAAATGACATCCTAAGCAACAGTTTTGGGCTCAGGTAGAACTGCTGTGGCAAAGAAGAGTAGTCCCCCTCGACAGTGAACGTAGCCTCAGCAATGTCACATTCAAGCACTCGGATGCACCCAAACATATCAAAACAATCTTCCGATGACGACAACTGTATCGAAACTCAATGAGCGACACCATTATTACCCACGTGGTCAACGTATGGGTAGTTGCATACTAATCTCGTACGTTACACGAGTGTCGTATTACGTTGACCTGTGTCGTAACGACTTGACCTGAGATTCTAGTGATTTGATTGGATTACCGATGATTACTCATTGAGGTCACCTTGTGACGGAACTACTTTTTCATTCATAACAAACACCACACTCCGGCACAGCGATGACATAACATCACTGCCACAGGCTAATTTGCATATCACGTGACCGGACTTTTCTCTTGTTTGTAATCAAACGCGCATATTCATAATAAGAAGAGACTGGACTCACGAAAGCTTTTGGCGCTCTCTTCATAATGTTTTACATTGTTACATATATATTCTTCCACAACTGCGACAGTTAGGTCTATGACGGTACATATTTAGATATCAAACTGGCTGCATCGTTTGCTCTCCGCCGGCTTCGATGACAGCGCGTGGAGCCGTACAACCTATGTAAACAAAGGATCGCTACGCAAATCGAAATAGTGTTACATGTGTTTGGATATTTTCTCAGTGAAACTAAACCATTCTATTAAAGAAGTTTAGTTAGATGTGTAGACTCGTCAAAAATAAAAGAGTGAAATAAATCTGTACATTATATTGAATGGACATTGCAAGATGTGACGAATCGTCACATTTTTCTGGCCTGTGGCAGAGATACTATGCTGGCTTGCCGCATGGAACTCTGGGTAGGAGAGTGAACAAACACGTGAATTCATTCATTCTACAACTTATATGCATTGTGGGAATGTAAACATTGTGAACGTTGCCATATAGCTGTTTAATTGTGAGTCAAACTGAGGCATTATATGCGTTGTAAAACATACATGCAAAGTTTCCACCAGTGAGGTTAGCCGAGTGAAGCAACTGCAAACCAAGAAATGGGGTGCTACGGAGTAGTTTAATGTAAGGAGGCTCTACGAGGCGATGACAACTGACATGCATCGTGACGTCGGTTACCAAGGGGCAGACGAGCAAGGCGTAGTGACGTCATTACAGTGTGATGTCATGCAAAAGTGTACTACAGAACAACATTCTTCCGCAACCTCTTTATGAAACCGGTTTCGGTTTGAAACCTTAACAATAACAAAAATATGACATGGGTAATAAATAAAATACCACACTCGGTCTCATAACATTCGAATTATACGAAACTCGTGACTTTCCTATGGTTTCTGACCTCGCTTTTGCTAGGTCAGATACCATAGGAAGGATACTCGTTTCATATAATTCGTATGTAATGAGACCTCGTGTAGTATTCTCTATGTATGCACCAGTGCCGAGGTTTTGTATCATAGCTACCACCTGATCAAAACTGGTCTACTGCACTGTGCATGGTTCCTGCGGTATATAGTCATTAACCGGTGATCCTTCAGGGTATGATAAGTGGTGGATGAGGCGGAAGGCAGCTGGTGAATCCCATTTCTTACGCACCAAGCCAATTGGGGAAACTAAGAGTGAGTCCACTGGTCTTTTGAAGAATGGGCCTGCTATGCAAAACAACTGAATTTCTTTTTGTAGATTTTGTTCCACCAGTAGTGGCTGCTCATTAGCAGATTTAAGGTTGACCGCATCCCTAGTGACCTGTGGCCCTGAATAGTTTAAACTAAAACCCTGACAAAAACCCTGTTTCAGTAATTGAGCTGCTAATGGGTTGATTAAATGATAATGCTCCAGCCACTGTTGCAAGTAAATGACATTAAAGGAGAATACGAAAACTTTTGATAGGGTTAAAGGATATTCTAAAAGTCACCTTCCGTGATTAAAATTGAACAAAAAGTTTGTAAAATAGCAATAAAAACATAAAAACGCACTCGTATATCTGCGTATTACGGAAACACCCGGCAGTTAATGAGAAGAGGGGGTATCACGTGACATGACATCATATGTGCCTGTTGCTGATGGCTTCCTTTTGGATTTTACCTCACAACTTAACAGTGTCTATGGATTCTGAAGCAGTAAAAGATGTTCCTGATGTCATTTCTGAAATGGATGTTAGACTGTATCAATATACGATCTGATTTTACATCTTGCAAGACAATCTTCCAGTGAAGACGAAGAAGAAGAATCAAGCAAAACGGAGGCACCGCTTGAGGTCAAAATAAATTTAAAAATGGACCATATCATTTAATAAGAATACTATTTGTCAGCAAAATGTGATACAGTTACAACCAGCAAACCCACCCCTCTACATACATGACCAGACCCTAAGAATTTTCTCTTTTTTTTATCAAATGTGATTGCAGTTCCTTTTGTGTCAAATGGGTGACTGCAAGGTGTCTGGGATTTAAAAACAAAACAATTATGCTTCAGACGAGGGGGAATAAAAATTATCTGCTACAAAAATTACACTGGAATTATTTGTTGAAAAAAAATAGGATCCTAGTTCTCATTAATATCGTATCAAGTCTCCATAAACGATCCTAGCCTGGTTGAGCAGAGATAATATTCGCGACGCAGATAAGTTATTCCCTGAAAACCAGTGAATTATAAAATACTAGCCAGGACAATGTATGTTTCCCCAGTTTTTGGTTATGGAAATAGTTAAGGTACTCGGTCATAGCCTTTGAATGACATTTTGTCAGCCAGTGAGTATACAGAACAACTTTCATGGCACACACTACTGTCAAATAGCGAGTCTGATGCCGGCGTACGTAATTGGACAAAATGGAAAACAATGAAAGCAACAAGTACTTCATGATTTGCCGTTGTATTTGGCAATGTTTAGGGTAGACTGCTGCATTTAGGGCTCCAAACCGAAAAGAACATTATTACGAAACATTTTGAAAGCTCATGTGAAATCTCTTACTGATTTTGATAATATATATCTCATGGGTACCAGTCATGGGCAAGCCACAAAATGCCCCAGCAAATTTGGTTATTCATTCTAATTTATATATGCCGTAAATGCATAGTTTTTGTCAACTTTGATATTATGTTCTTCATATAGAAGTTATTAGGAAGTAATAATTCTGATAAATGTTCAATTTGTAAACTCATAACAATGTATATACAATGCATTCATGTCCTATATTTGGTCCTTTTAATTAAATTGAGGCAATTTGACCAAAACTCTGGGGCAATTTGACCAAATTTGCTGGGGCAATTTGTAGTGGGGGCAATTCGACTGGCAATGGCAATCAGACTTGATCTAATTCATGTTAAAAATACCAATTACAGTAAGTTGTAACAGGGAATGACAAAGTATAAATGAATCTCATGGGTACTTCTTCCTTCTTCAGCCTAGCTTTGGGATTTTCATACCCCATGTGTGCATGTCTCTTTCATATGTGTCCGACTTTAAATGATCAGAGCATTTCTCCTGCCTAAATCTGTCTCTTTACTTGGAAAATGGAAGAAATGGTGGCTCTTTTCATTGTCCGATGATTCCGTGCATCCCCAGGCAACGGAATACACCATCGTACCATTTACAAAAACGACAGAAACAACACGATTTGTATTACTGTAGTGCTTGTTCTTTGGCAATATGGCTGACGCTAATCACATATGACTTCACGAGCGGAAAGGTCACATGAGTTCCAGTGGAATATGCATAATGTCCGAAGATCAGATAACAAACTGTTTTCGCATTATTTTGTCTATGGTAAGTGGTGAAAGTGAGACTTGATTCATGATGGCATGCAGAGGAATGTATGATATAGGTCAGTTACATTATCACCCACTCGCGGAGTGATACTTAATGTCAAACTAACCTGAATGCGGAAGTATCGAGAGGCGTGAAAATATGTATTGCAGTAGTATACACAATGGAGATTCAGCATCAGGTCAGCTTATGGCGTTATTTATGGCTAATTAAGCTTCAGCGGGCCCCTTACAAACGGCGGTTGTTGAGGGGGACATAGTTTGATGTCCCGGGACGAAAAAGAAATTTTTAATTATGAATCCACACTGACACCGAGGAAACAGTTTATTGTGAATCTCCTATGATTTCTTTGGTTTTGGTAAGGAATGCTTGACAGGCTTGTTCCCTCCCCAGTTCTATGAATTTATTTTTCTCTTTTTTGATAATGCCATTGGCTTTATGAGACTTTGTTCGAATCAACAAGTACGGTGAGTTCCGACATCGCTAAACGAAACTCTTCTTCGGTTATCTTACTATCAGATAGCGCCATCGAGATATGATCCTCGATGCTTTACTCCCCATCAAAAGTTTAGACTCACTAGTGTAAACATAGCCACTTACCTCAATCAACTGATCTAAACTAGAATTTGCAAAATATTCTATACAGATTAAGGGTATTGTTTAAACATGAACTGATGTATTGTAAAACAAATTCGTAACGTTGAAAAGATTATTGTCATGAGTTCAATAAATGATGAAACTCAGTGAAAAT